CAAAAAGTGGGTATTCTTATTATTCAATAACCCCCCTTCACAATCGGTTACAACAATAACCTGGTTACAAGAATTTTGGCCCAAAATTTTCTCTCTCCTCAATTTTTAGTTATTTCCCTACTTTCTCTCTCTCAATAACCATGCATAATGGTTATCTGCTGTGCATGCTCTCAGGATTCTAACTTGCAATTGATTTGGGGGTTTTATATACCCATTGATTGTAAGTGATAATAAAGCTTAAAAACTATATTTTTATGGAGTTTTAAAGAGATTTTAAAAATGATATTGCTGGAATTTTATTTTAAGCACTACTTTTGTGTTTTTATAAAAAGGGTTTAATCACCCATAAGTAGAGAAGGTTTTAATTGGTTTTAATAGAATTTTCAAATTTATTTGAGGGGTTTAAACCTTAAAAAGTATGTTGGAATTTTTATTTAAACACCATAAATGAGTTTTTACTTTAGGGTTTTAATTACCCACTTAAAGAAAGAGTTTTAAAGGTTTTAAACCAAAATTTCAGCTTATTAGAGAGGTTTTAAAGTGTTTAAAAGTTGTTGGAAATTTGTGTAATCAAGGGATTAATTGAGTTATGTACTTTGTATTGTAGGAGACTTTAAGTTTGATTGGTTTCTAGCATTGTGGCTAGTTGGAAAGATGATTTAAGGTATGTATGCGCGTAGGATGTGTTAATTATGCGTAGAACCATGTTAGGAAGTTAAATTTGGAACAAGTATGAGATTAGTATCATGTTAAGTTGTTGTTGTGATACTTGGAATGATTGATTGTTTATCCATGTCTTATATGTAAGCATGTGAATATGTTGGAATAATTATCATGAGCTTGATACAAGTTGAAAGTAATTGAATCATGTTATATTATTTATTATTCATTTTCAATAAGGCATGTATTTAATAAGCAAGGCTTATGTTTATAGAAATTAAAAGAGCTAAAGTTATATTTATTGAGCATAATTCATGATATTATTCTCACCCATTTATTATTGGAGTTGAGTCATACTCTCTCACATAAGTTGAGGTCGAGTCAAGAAGTTAGTTTATTACTCACTCACATAGTTGAGATTGAATCAAGAAAGTTTAGTGCATTTTATGCACCAAGGTAGTAAGTGCAATTTTGTGCACAAAACTAGGCAAGGAACCTTAATTAAAATAAGTAGTATGTGCTCACTAATTAATTCAAGAATGAAATGAAAGTATGTGTTGATTGTTGTTATGTTTGTTCTTGATTGATTGGTTGGAGTCATCACAAGTTAAATTGGTAAATCACGTAAAGTGTAAGAGGATATGCACCAAAACTCTTGGAACGTATATACCTTGAGTATGAACACATGGGGGGAGCTATGTGACTTTATATTTGATCATAGCTTCTACAGGGGTACAGGACGCTGTACTTTCTTTTATTATTAATGCGCTGGAATTCCGTCACAAGGTGACATAGTAGGTGCCAATTGGGGTAGCTCTCTAATTGGAAGCTCAATATTTTAATGGGCTATTTTGAAGGAAGGAAACCCGTTCGATGCGTTATCCAAAACTATATATTAATAAATTAAAGTCAAGTCATGAGTCAAAGGTAAGTTGAGTTGCGTTGTATGGAAAGCATGTTTTATTTATTTATTTATTAATTGTTAGGATATTCATGTAAGTGTGATTGTTCTTATTGGTGTATATGTACTTAGTTTTTGCTGATTCGTACTTTATTGTTTGTGTTTGGCTCCCTTTGGATTGGCACTACTATGACCCATTTTATATGGCGAGTAGTGAGGTTAAAATAAAGAGAAGTACAGATAGTGGAAGCATATCAAGCATGACGGGATTGAGCGAAGAGGGTTATATGTTTATTTGTTATTATTTATTGTAATGGATTATTTATGTAATTGTTAACACTAACATATAATTATTGTTTTAATATTTTAGTTTGGTTTTAAAAAGGGCCTTTAATGTTTCCAAGTTATTGGTTTAATGTAAGTTGGTTTTAAAGTTTGAGTTGTTTTGTTAAACTTTATTTTAATTGAGTTTTGGAAAGTTAGTCTTCCGTTGTGTGACTTTGAAAATAGCCTTAGTCGTTATCACGGTGGCGGTAATATTTTGGAGATTTCCTAAAATGAGTTTTATTTAGAGTAAAAAAAAAAAGTATTTTAAAAGGAGAAAATTTCCAGGGTATTACAAAAACGAACATAATATCTAAAATAATATAAGGGTTAAAGCAAATGAACATTAATATAGAAGAACATATTATCTAAGTTAAAAGATCGTGATTTGTATTATTGAAACCCAAACAACATTTTTAATCTACATACATTAAAGTACATTGTTTGTAATGTAAAGAACATATAATTCATATACAAAGAACATATTGATCAGACTCAAATAACATATTCCATTCCAATAAAAAAATGAATATGTATCCAATAATTGATAAAAGAACATTTATCATAATACGAAGAACGTCATCTTCAAACTCAGAAAATAGCACGAAAACAGGAAAAAAAAATAAAAATTATAAAAAAATATCTTTTCTCTCAACAACGAATTAATCAATTACATTATTAAAAGATTATTTGGAAGACTAAAATCAACTCCATTATAACATTGAATCACTTCAGAATTCAAAAATACCATGGTTTCTCTCTTTATATAAATTCAATTTCTCTTTCTTAACAAAAAATGTAATTCTATTCACCAAAAAAATTCGATTAATATATAAAATGTAAATAATAAATCAATTCATAAATCAAGGAATATAAATAAAAAATCAATCCCTTAATTCAAGGAGAGAATCGTTTTGTTTTTTTTTTTGGGCTCATGTACTTTATATTTGTGTGCAATGTTCTTTCCACCTTTTTAGTAACCTTTGTATTTTGACTGGGTGTATAAAGCTCATGGTACATCCGAGTGTATGGTTAAATTTTCATCATGGAGAAAGTTTATTCTTCATGAAGATGATGTTATTTGTGGAGGAGATTTATTTTTCATAAAGATGGGTTGTTTTCTTGGAGGAGTTTTATTCTTCATGAAGATGGTGTTCTTTGTGGAGGAGGTTTATCTTCATAAAGATGGTTTATTTTCTTGAAGTTTTTAATTCCTTTGAGTATTATATAAGGCTTGCATGATAATTTATTTAAAGTATGGACATGATGTTAAAATTAAATAATTATGTGTTATAGATATGTAAATGTTTTATGGTTTAGTTCCATGTATTATATCATTAATAAATGTGATATATATATTTCATTAAATATCAATAGTGTATGATCATGTTTGTAATGGTATTCACGCACATTCAAATGCGACACTAAATTATTATGTGTGTGATTTTATGAGCTGAGACATGAAGTCGTGGTGATTGTGAATTTTATACGGTTCAAAATTTTATTTAACTTAGCGGAATTTTGGCCAAAGTATTGTCAAGTTATGTTTAACGATGTATAAAATTCAGATGGGATGAGAATTAAGCCCAAAATTAATTACCGATAAAGAAAACTCAATTCAACTTCTAGTATAACGCTAGATCTTGAATTCAATGAGGATCCAACTTTACTTGGTGATTTGAAACACTATATTTATTAATACATCCCAAGATTAGTGCTTAGTATTGCAATGTAAAGAGGTTGAAATTTATTTCTTAATAGACTTTTGGGAGGTTGCTCATATTGCAAGAGCATGTTTATATTGAAAGTCTACCTATATGAGTAAGAAGTTTGGCCGCTTTACCAAGTTAAGGGCTTAACTTGGAGGTACTCATGAATTAGATATGGACATAAGGCCCTTAATGGTGTGAAGGTTACATGAAAGCTTGTATGAAACTTGTGTGTATAGTATCTTCAATGATTCAAAGTGGTTGTACGATTCAAAGCTTAGTATATCATTATGATCAGAATTATTGTTAAGTATATTATAATAAGTGAAAATTCAATTGTTACGATATTTTCTTAATGCACGAGTTTGATTGTTTGTTTGTTTTTGTTTTGTTTTGTTTTTTGCTTTTTTTTTTTTTTTTTTTTTTTGAAGGGGGAGTTTGAGTGTTTGTTTATTAAGCAAGGCATAAGCATTATACGTTTATTCTATAAATGGAGGAGGATTGTTGGAACATTTATAGATAAATGTGCTTATGAGTTCATATATGAGGTGTATATTATGCTAGGAGTTGAGGAGGATTAGTATAATGATTATACTTAGAGGTATAACAAAGTAAGATGTATAAAAGTGACAACACAAGGCAAAAATCGACTGCCCTGTCTGACAGGCATGGACGCCCTGTAGGGCGAGCACGAGTAAAGATTGTCGATTATCTAATTTCATTGAGATGTTACGCGCGCTCGATCGGGCACCCTTGCCTGGTCTGACCGGGCGAAGGGGTTTGTCAATTTTAATATGTTTTTCCAAAAGTTTTTTGCGCGCCCAACCGGGTGCCATTATCCGATCTGATCGGGCAGAATTCTAAACTAACAATTTTCAACAGTTATTGAGCTGATTGCTTTATGAACGGACATATCTATTGGATATTAACTACTCTTCATTAAAAACTCTATAAATAGAAGTTTATGTGACACATCTGCTGAATGATGGAAGAGATTATCATATAACTTGCTTCTTTTGAGAGAATTTAATCTAGATTATTTTCTCTTAATTGGTTTTACAAACACTTGTTCACAAGCTTGTTGAAGATTAATTTTGATAAACAACCAAAAATCAATTCTCTCTCTTTTTTTTTTTTTTTTTTTTTTTTTTTTTTTTTTTTTTTAATCCCAATAGATATATTATGTTAAAATTGTTGTTTCATAGAGGGTCGATAATAAAGTATTAGGAAAGTGGCTATGATACGTGCCTAGAAGAAATATTCGGTCCCTCTTGTTTTTTCCGCAATTTTGCTCTATCAATCAACAGGAAGGTGCATATTGTATCTTGTATGTAGGCCAGAAGAAATACAAAAGATATTGCAGAACAAAGTCTTAAACTAGACAATTTTAAGCATAAAGCATTAACTTCTAAGTTTTAAAATTGCATATTGCTAATTTGGGATTCAATATAATCAATAGACAAATGTTTGTTTAAAATTAAATTTACAAGTCATATATTCTGTAATGATTTGTAGCATGTGAATTTTGAAATTACACAGGGAAAGGAAACTTCTATGAACATACAGGAAACTTCAATGAGCATACCAACTTCCAAAAGAATTATGTAACAATATCACTATTTTAAGCTATCAAAACAGGGCATTTCTTCCTTGGTCTCCAAGAAAGTTCCATTTATCTTACCTCTGAGCAATTACTCGGACCAACAGGTTCTCTTAAGCAATAAGATATAGCATTAACGGCAGCTTCAATCGATGCATCTTCTCCCTACAGCACATATACAATCAAGGAGTCATGCAGATTCAGTTGGGTAAGGGGTAATAGATCAACTGGAAATGAACCCCTAATAGATACCCAAGTACCTAACTAGCTATGTAATTCGACATTTTCAAAACGACATGATTAAGTAATCTCCGTTACATACACAACCAAAACTACCTGTCACTGAACTTGAAATGTGAAAAATGATGGCAAACAAAAGGTTTTGCTTTGAGATTGAAGGGACTTTCACCTGTTCTTTCCAGTAGAATATATTTCCATATTTCCCAGCCAAACGACTCCAGAAACTACGTGGTATGTCAAGATCAACTTGAGCTCCCACATTGAAATTCAATATATTCCCTATCAATCAGTTGCATACTAATCATATGATGTACCAGCACAAGATTTATTCAAGATGAGTTCCAAAAACGATATTTTTACCAAAAGTAGGATCAGCAACAAAGACAATTGTTCTATCATCCACTTGCCAAAAATCCTTGATAGCCAACCCTGTGTGAAGACCATGGTTATAATCTTCTTAAAAATTATGCCAAAAATTCTGAAAATCAGAAAATGTAGACTTCTAAGCAAGATTATAATTAAGAGGGAGGAAAAATAAAGAAGCAAGGAAAGAAAGTTGTGGCTACCAGGCGTATCTGGGTAATTCTGCGCCAAGATTCTCAACTTGAATCCTGTATCTTTCTCAAGGTCAGCAATCTCCTCTGCAAGCCTCTTTTCCTGGAAAATTGTCATTGCAGTATGAATATTCTCTTCCAGGAAAAAACGTATTGGTTTGCCAACAGTATATGCTTTACGCTCTGTATAATAATCTACAACATATACAATCAAAATGCTAGAGATAGCTTATCCTCTTTTGCAGTAATTCACGAGGGCATCCAATCCATTTACATTAACCAGTGACCAATGTTACATTTCTATGCTTAAGGTCAGATAAAACAATACCAGGCTTCCCTATCTTAAAACTTGCTAATGAAGTCCTGAGTTAGCAGTTGAAGTAGATCTCCAGCATTTGTTTGGGCCAAAAGAATCCTAATGTGATTAACTTCTAATAACTGTTTTTTATGACAAGGTTTGACTATAGAACCCCCTAGTAGCCCCCATGTCGGCAGCAATCTAGAATTCTTCACAATAGTATTAACTTCCCTGAATGTATTTCTTTAGTTGTAATAGTGCCTAAATTAAGCTTATAAATAGCCATGGATGTAATCAATAGAACTCATGCTTTGCATATTAAAAAATAAACAAACACTTTGAGTGTTCTTAGGTTGAATTATGTAATTTAGATGGAACACTACAAGTGGGGAAGAGGGGGGGGGGGGATTGTAGACGGGAAATTATCGCACTGTTAATGCAGCACGAAAGATAAGGAATATGAAGTGCAAGAGAGATTTTTACGTAGAAACTTCTTTTGCCAACCAAGAAGAAAAACCACGAACCACTCGAGATTTAAACTCTACTATCTTTCATGGTCTTCGAGATACGTCTTAAAACATAAATATCTTCAATTCTATACACACAAAATTTATATAAAAATTAATAATGAGTTAAAATTCTTATAGTAGACATTGTAACAAATCTAACAAGATCCCACATTACTACATTATTTCTTAAAGATTAGTGAGGATTTATGGTCAAAGTTTTTAAATTTGAGCCCAAAAGATACAACGGGGCAAACAAATAGAGACAAATGGAGTATAAGGAACACAAGCCACTCGTGAGTTCCAGAGTACCTTACCCTTAAACCCTTGCTGAACTCATCCCAAATACACACTTGATAATTGGTTTAACTCGTATACATAGAAATTCATGAATATTTAGGAGCTTGGAACTTGTGTTATTGGTTTAAGTTAATGGAATACAAATATATTTCTTTGTGATACTCTTCCACTTGATAATTATGGAATGTACGCAAGTCAAACACTCAGGTTTGATGAATTCTATAAATATAGAGAAGCAATAAACTCACAACCCATTTCTCACTCCTCCACAACTATCCCACGTGATGAGGGAAACGTGCTAACTTGGTCACCGAGTGTTAGGAAAATCTCAACTAATTTGCTAAACCTTAGCTAATAAATAGATCAAATTAAAAACGTGATAAAAAGGAAATTTGAAAAGAAAAAAAAAAGATATTTTGTTGACAACCACATTAGCTGACATGCAACGAGAAATCCAAAAACTGCAAACATCTTGCACATTATGAAGATACCACTGATCAATCTTATCAACAAGATGATGAACAATTGGATGGTGGAGATGATGATTGCAATCCATTACACCAATCCGATGGTGTAACTTAAGTGGAGAAACATTGAATTACTGGCGAACCCATCATCCTCGACACCAAGAAAAGGATTTTAGAGTCAAAGTTGAATTTCATGAATGTAAAGGAGGTGCTCATCTTGATGAGTTCATCGAATGGCTCCACAAGGTTAAATGTGTCTTTGATTTTAAGGACATCACACATGATCGCAAGGTCAAGGTTGTCGCCGTGAAGTTCAAGAAGCATGCATTCATCAGGTGGGAAAATCTAAGACAACAATGTAAACAAGGTTGTAGTAAAATTTGCACATCGGAACTCAAGCATAAATTTTTTCCCAATCACTATTGCCAAGATATGTTTCCAAGTGTGTTGTTGAATTTGAAGTCTTGTCACTAAAGTGTGACAATGTCGAGTCGAAAGACCAAACCGTTACAAGCTTGTATTAAAAAATCTCTAAAGTTGTACAACTCCAACTATATTGGTCATTCAACGATGTCACCAAACTTGTTTGAAAAGTTAAAAGCCAACATTTGAAGGAGAACATGGCTTTAAAGTTTTCCCTAAGGAAACTTCATCACAACGAAAACTGATGAAAATTCTAACGCCGCAATGAAAACGATTTAAAATACTTAAGGCCAACTATTGGAAACACAGCGAAGTATTTTCAACGAATTTCGTGGTGGTGTTAGAGTTGACATGAAGTATCCTTAAGGATAACTTTGAATCTCGTCTTCTCCTTTATTTATTGGCTTTTAACTTTTAAAACAAGCTTGATGATATCGTTAAATAACCAATATTGTTTGAGTTATACAACTTTAGGGATTTTTTAATCCAAGTCAGTCAAGATTCTTTCCAACGATTTGTTCTTTCAGCTCGCCATTAAAACATTTTATTGACAAGTCTTCAAATTCAGCAATATATTTAGAAACATATCTTGGCAATAGTGACTAGGGAAAAAAATTTATACTTAAAGTTCACGCTTCATTTTATCCGATGTACAAATTTTAATACGATCTTCTTGTTCTCATTGTCAACTTAGATTTTCCCACCAAATGGATGTAGGCATCTTGAACTTTATGGCGACTAACTTGACATTGCGATCGTGTAGGATATCCTTTAAATCAAAGACACGTTCAACGGTGCCATTTGATGAACTCAACTAAACGAGCACCTCCTTTAAAATCAAGAATTTCAACTTTAATTCCATTTTTTTTTTTCTAGGTGTCGAGGATGATGGTTTTGACGAGAGTTCAATATTATTCCACATAATTATCTACACCATCCGATTGTTTGTCGTCTTGTTAATGGGATAAATTAGTAGTGACTTCATAACATGCAAGACGTTTGAAGTTTTGGGATTTCTCTTGTATGTAAGCGTGTCATAAACAGGGCGTAGTTAATAATTTTCTCCATAGCAAAATGGCTAATGCCTTATTCGGCAAAACTCTAACTACACTCTCTATACACATGTTATTCACCTTTTCTTTTTGCCATTTTTTTCAAACCCAATATAAGGCTAATGCCTTATTCGGCAAAACTAGCAATGGCGGGTAGGTTTTAGCAATCAAGTAACGGCCAGCATATCAGAATAAATAGTATCTATCGATTAGTAGTAGGGAGAGATTGGCTATCAAAGTAACAGTTGATACTATAAGTGTTCGGCAAAAGTAGCAGATAAAATTTTAATTTTCTTTTTTTAAAAATAACCAAAATTTGACAAACGTTACCTGATACCTTTAAAACACTAATTTTTTAACGTTTGATAAAAGCTACTCAAACGATATCTCTAACACTAACCGCTACTTAAATCACTACCTTGTCAAATTCTCTTTTTTTTTTTTTTTCCTGATAATGGGTTAAAAGACTAACCACTACCTCAGCCGCCAAAAAGGGCCTAAGTTAAAACAATATTTCTCTTATAAGGGGATCATGGTGTTATGGGCATGAAAATCAGAGCCTCCAATAAAATTTTAAAAAAAAAAAAAAAAAAAAAAAAAAAAAAAAAAAAAAAAAAAAAACAAAACAGAAACAAAAAAATGTAAGTTTTAAGAGACAAAATGAGGTGTGAGAAAATTACCTATGAGGGGTAAGATTCTTGTAAACAGGTTGTAAGATTATTGGGTCCTTAGCAATTTGGGGTGTGAAGGTGATGGCGCAATGGAGTACAGTGGTAGGGGTTATGGCGGAGGTAATTTTTTCTTTGGATGGGGAATTAAAGCGAGGGGAAAGTGGAAGGAAAACGGTGGGGTAGTATGGTGGCCGACAGTATGTTGGTGATTAAACCGAGTTCTACAAAGATGAGTATTGAAGTGGCGTCATCGGTCTTGTCAACATGAGAACTTCAATGAAGGTTGGTCGAAAGGTAAAAGAAGCCTTTTGGAACCAATTTGACACTGTACTGGCTAGAGGTAGGATAACAATAGTCAATCACCACACCGCGACGATACAACTCTTTTAATATATGGACAAAGATCACCATTAGGAAGTAGCAGAGCAAACCTTGGATATTGTAACACCACCAAGGGGTAGCCTTAGAACACTAAGTGTTTGGTTACTTTTCATATGCAGAGCTTGAGTTTTACTAATTACATCCATGGCTATTTGTATCCTTAACTTAGGTATAATTACAACTAAAGACATAAATGCAGAGAAGTTAATACTATTGTAAAATGTGAAGCTTCCTATATTTTTTTCCAACAAGGTGTTACATAGTGTTACATAATATAGAAAACTTCTTAAGTTTTCTATATTTCCATGGTGTTATTGCATCCATCATTTCTCTCTACTACTTCCTAGTGGTGTTTCTATATCTAGGAATTAACAAAGTTGTATCGCTAGAGTAACCAACGGGCATGGGGATTTGGCTAATTTTATCCTGCCCCTAACCAGTGAGTGTCATTAAAGGAAACAAGGAGGCATAGATTAGAAACTTCAAGAGATGATGTCCCACTTAAGTGAGTTGAAGTATGTCTTTCCACTAAACATAGTGTTCTGGATATCGTCTATATTGGTTTGTAAATTGTAACCGAAAGTCATCTGCTCTAATCACAAAGAACTCTGACAATGGTAATTGCAGGACACCAGTTAGACCAAAAGCATATGATAAATCTGATGCTAGTATCTAATCGATAAAGAAAATATTCCACAGAGGAGCAGCTCAATATGTCGGGCAGTTGCATAATATAGCTTAATAAGAATGGGAAAATAGCATACCTGCCCAGCAGAAAGGAAGCCAGCCACATCAATAACAGCAGTGTATTCTTTAGGGAGCATTTCAGGTTTATTAACACCTGTTTTGGCTTCAGCATACTGAACTCCTACAATAAGTAATACATAATCCAATTTCAGCTGCTTAGGCAAAGAAAGGTGTCCAGCAGATTGCATAACTGATTACTATAGAAGATTTTTCGTAAAACATATACAGTGTCCAACATAAAGATTCAGGAACTACCTAGGTAGATGCATCAAGATCATGAACTTCTTACTAAACATAACACTAAGCAAATGCTTCTTATGGTTATGTACAGATTAAAAAAATAATAATAATCATAATAATTTGAAGTCAATGCTTCATCCCGGACAAGGAACCTTTTTTTTATCTACGAAGTTGTTGAAGTAATCACTTGCATATGTATATTAATTTCATCAGATAAAAGGAAGTCAATAAATAAAATTATACAAAAAGAAAGTCAAATCCAAGAGAATTTGTTTACCTAATCCCTCAGAAGCAGCGAAATTTTTTTTAAAATATTGCCTAACCATTAAAACAGAGCCCTAACCTACTGGGTGAACTCAGGTAAATGAATTATTTGCTAAAAAACTTGACCAGAACTATTCAAGAGCACTCCATCAAAGTATTATGTGCCATGGTACATAATAAATGAAAGCTTTCCCACAGACCACAAGGAGAAAAGGAGAGCCATACGAAAGCTATATTTATGGAAGAACAGAAGGGAGAAACTAATATATTAGTGCTATTCTGTGAAGCAACAGTGACAAGAAAGCTAAGAAACTCGGTGCATCGTTACAACCTTTTATTAAAGTAATTTCAAATTCATCTCAGCAATTTTAGCCTCATTTAAGAGTTAATGAATAAAGTATTCATCGTGTATATTATGCTCATTAAGATAGCCTTTTTTTTGTTGCCAGGAACTGCATATGGTATACTCAAAAGTGTCAAAGTGTAGAAGCTTGTTATGCATTAGAATGTGATAGAATCCCTTTACATGCCTGTCCAGTGTTCGCTTGGTCTGTTAAGTAATAGTTAGGGTCACAGGCCATTCCAGTCCTTATTTAGCTTTTCAGTTTCCGCCTTCTAAACTCCAATGCAATGTCAATGAAAAATATATGCTTTTGGTTGTATGGAGCCTGTCACTATATATATGTATATAATGGGCAACAAATGCCTATTGTCTTCTTCTTTCCTTTTCTGCAGATGATGTTTTATATACATAACTATGCGTTCATCATGTCCTATGATTAAGAGATTACTTTGAGAATTTCCTGACAGTCTTTTCTAATGAAATAAGGTTAGCTTTAAGAATGAAGGCAAAAATTACTTTTGAAGGAAGAATCCAGTATGCATTCTCAAGGTTGCCACTAAATAAATGCTAAGGTTAAGTTTTGGTGACAGAAAATTGCTAGGACCTGGTGAGATGATCAAACTATTATAGTATATTATTGTCATCAAGTTATGCATCCGTAGAGTTCTCTAAGAAGAAATGTGCTTCCAATGACATATATGTGATAACTTTGAATAAACTAAATCCCATGCTCACTCAAGCTTCGGCCTCAAGATATGCACATTTTTTTCTAGAGCCTTAAAGAAGGCTTCCGCTCAACAACCCATTCGATAGGCAGTAACAAACGATGGTAAAGATAGTGATTAAATTCTTATATCAATGACCATATTAATGCACATCTATTCCTGATTATACCCCCACAGCCTCAAATATGTGCTTTTCTTCATAGACTACCATTACCATCATAAGCAGTATCACTCCAAGAGCTTGTATTGAAAATCAAGGAAGTGAAACACAGAGTCAAATGTTGAGAAGCATTACCATAGAAATTGTCATGAGACATCTCTAGCAATTTTACTCATTAATAACATATTTTCGTCAAATATCAACGACCAACAAACGAGTTATAAAGGTAATTAGAGCACAAACAGACTTTTACGAATTTGGCACGCCAAATCAGACTACAAAACCATTTACCTATTGTGCTTCTATGTTGCATAACTAACAACAACATATTTCAATAACACAAACCATACCCAAAATCTATGTCACTCGCACTTGATCACACATGTTTGATAACAATTGTCCACCACTGGAGGAGTACCTGAGTGTCCAAGTCTGAGTATGTGAAAAAATTTGTTGGATACCATAGAGTTTCAAGTAACATAGCTTATACGAGGCCTTGTTTATTCACCGGATTTTCACTTATTCGAACTAAGTTCAAATAAAGATTGATAAGTTCAATTCACATAAATTCAAGGAAAAATCAGACAAGTGCAGATAAGCTACATAGGCTACCTAATTTCAATTTACGACTAAAAACAAGCTTTAACAATGCAAATTAAAACATATCAAAAATAAGCATTTTTATTTCATTCGTAAGTTCAAGACTTCAAGCTGATGTTCTTATCCAATAAATCATCAACCAACACAAAAAAGTTGAAGAACAGCTAAAACAATTAAAATAAGAGGAGACTTAGCAATTACCATTAAAAGAGAGTGCAAGAGCAAGAGAGCTAGAAAGAGCAAGTTTCAGAGATTTGGACCCAACTTCAGATACCCATTTCTTAAATTGGATCAATTTTGCTCTTGGAATAGCAGGAGTTGTCATTCGAGCATTAATTTTAGCCGGTCTTCCGCCATTAATAGCCCAGGGAAGAGGGCGGACCGCCATTGTTTTGCCTTGAAGAGGTGGGATAAGACAACTCCAGAATTCTGTTTTTATTTTTTTATTTATTTTTTTTTATTTGGGCCTGATAGCCCATTTTTTGTAGCGCACTAACGCCTCTAATTTACGGAGTATTTAGTTTTTGGATGTCACAATTCACGACTCATCTCGGTGGATCGAGAGTCAGAAATCAGCGGCACGCTAGCGGCCCGATATGGCACGAGCCCGCGAGTGGCACGAAATTTTGGCCCGGCACAGCACGAGCAACAGCCATATTTCCCTACAGCTCTAATTTACCGGCTAGTTTTTGCAATTTGCTTGTTAGTTTTTGCTTCTAACGGTTACTTTCTCTAATTCTCTCTATAAATACATCAACTCATCATCCTTTTCTTTTTACAATTCATCAACTCATCTATTCTCAATTCTCTCAATCTCTTATTATTTAATCTTTTATAATCTTTAATTCTCTAACTCTCTCAAATCTCAATTATCGAAATTCTTTAAAAAAAAAAAAATTAAAAGTTCATAAAATTATTCAGTGGAAAGCAATCAAAGCTTGGTTGTAAGATCTAATTCATCTTTATTTTAATTTATCATTGTTATTGTTATTTTTTTATTCAATATTGTTATTGTTATTATTTTGTTATTATTATTACTGTTATTATTGTTATTGTTATTATCATTGTTATTATTATTTTTTTTATTATTATAATGTTATTATTACTTGTACTACTATTATTGATATTATTATTATTATTGTTGTTATTAATTATTAATTTTTTATTTTAATTAATTGTGATATTTTTAATCATGGCATCAAACCCGAACTCCTTCTCTAAGAAACCCCAAATTTCTCAATACCATCCACATGGCTTCAGTTACAATTATAGAGAGATAGGGATGAACTTGTGAGAATGTTAGTACATGCTGAACAACCTTTTCTTTTTGGCGAAAATGATCCGTTTAACAATTACATTAATAGAGCACTACAACCCCAACACAAAAAAATCTCTAGAAAAATTGTCCGTTCAGCTTCCATGAAAACTTTTTTAGTGTACAAAATGAAGTTAGTTGAAGAATTAAGTAATCTTACTTGTAGAGTTTCTTTCACTGCAAATGCGTGGGATAGTAGTTATGGATATTACTATTTGTGTGTGACTTGTCATTGGGTGGATAATGATTGGTTATTACAAAAATGCATTATCCATTTTAAAATGCTAGAATACCTACACACTGGTCTTAATATTTCTCATCATTTAATGCAAGCTATAGATGCATATAATATTAGGCCCAAAATCATGTCTATGACATTTGAAATGTAGTATCCATGACATTTAGTGCAAATTTAGTTAAACAACAATTGACCGATGTCATATTAGAAGAAGATGTATTTCATATTAGATGCATTTGTCATGTTTTTAATTTGTGTGTGAAGGATGGAACTAATGCAATTGGTCCATTTTATCACAAAATTAAAAATGCTATTATTTCTATTAACAGTTCTAACATGAGATTTCAGGAATGGAAAATTTTTCTTAGGCAGCAAAAATTAAAGGATATTAAAATCAAAACGGATCGTTCAACAAGGTGGAACTCCACCTATGAAATGTTGAGTAAGGTAATCAAGTACAAGGTTCCACTTACAGTTTTTTTTAATCAAAAGTTTCCACAATTTGCTTTACTAGAAGAAGATTGGTCTAATTGTGAAAAATAGATGCAATTTTTACAATTATTATATAGTATGACAAATTGTTTTTCTTCTATTTATAATCCCTATTCTCAATCTTTTCTTAGCAATGCATGTTTACTTGCCCAACTTTTCGCTGAACATCGATCCCGACAAGATTATGATGAATATCTTCCATCAATGGAGGAAAAATGGCATAAATGTTACACCAATCTTCCTATGATTTATATTTTTGCAACTATATTAGATCCAAGGCAAAAGTATGATGGCACATTTCTATTAATTGATATCTATTTTCAATTCATGCAATTTGATGATGATGTTGTTTCTCGATGAAGCTAATGTGACCGATCAATTTTTTGCACTATCAATTTTTTGCCTCGACCTCCTTGATCGGTGGAAAGCACAAAGCACGAAACATCCAATTTTGGCGACAATGGCACGTGATATTTTCGCTATCCAAGTCTTCTCTGTTGCCTCTGAACGAGTTTTTAGTGCGTCAAGAAGGGTTTTAAACCATAAAAGAACAAATCTAAAACCTGAAACACTTGAAATGTGTGTGTATCTCAAGGATTGGTTGGATGTCGAATATCGCTCGCAAGATCGTACTTATGTACAAAACAACAACGATGATGAAATGTCTGCTTCCGACCGCTCGGTTTCTAATAGTTCCCAATCAATTTGATTAGCCGATGACCTCGAAGAAGAAGCTAGAAGAAGAAGAACTACAATTAGATTAAATACTATTAACTAAAGATAATTTTTGTATTAACGTACCCTGTATAATAAAATAAGTTATTCATCAATTATTGTACTAATTTTATCATTATCCTTGAATTAGATAGCAATGTTGTTGTAACCAAATAATTAAACAATCTTTTTAAGTAATAATAATTATGGTACCTGGTTTTTTAGTGGACAATAAATTGGTCCATAGAGGTTTCACTTAGATGTCTTATAAGACTTTTATTTAAATATTTAGAGTTGTCACATTATTTTTAACCGAATAAGGACGGATTTTAAAACGGTCAATTTCAAGATATAAAACTTAAAATCAACTACTAACTCCAAAAAAATTGATAAGGCACAGTCTTGGGTTCGGGATTTAAGTTAAGAGAATTGAACGTTTGTAACTCGTCTTCTCTTCCGCTCAAAAGAACGGCCTCTTACTATTGCGTTGTTTGAAAAAAGAGTTTATCATAGGTATGATAAATAAAATCAAATTTTAAGCCATGTTAGTCACACAATATGATATAATAATTAGTATAAGGTAGGTTTGAGCACCGAAGTTGCACTACGTACCGATCATAGTGAGATTTGAATCCACTCATGGATCAAAACCATCGTAGTTCGGACAGATGCCATGTTTTAAATAACCAATTCCATTGGGTTTTTAATTAGGGTAGTTGATATAAGCGTCATTTTGTAAGTGGCATTTTAGTGATCTCTGACGGACTCACTCATAAAAGTAAAATGAACCACCTTGGTTGAGGCAAATCACTCTGATTAGTGATTACCAAAAATATCCTTTGAACAAGATAATTCAGCAAATGCGTCCCAATTGATGACTTTTTAGTGGGTCAATGTCTTTTTTGGAGTGAAACAATAAGGGTTCACTATATAATCTCACTTTGAGTTTAAAATCACTCGAGAATAATTTTTGTAATGTTGTAAGGGTTATGTGTTTGAGCTAATGGAATTGGCCAAATAAAACACGACACCAGTCAAGGTCTTACTTCTAAATAAAAGGGAACAATAAACTATTTAATCATATCTGATTGTCAATTAATCCATCGGGGAATTATAATGGGATAAAGGCTTATTTTTATGGAGATGGATAATTGTTACAACCTTATATAACTAAATAATTCATCTTAACCTCAGGTTTGGAAATGAGGCCATTACCTTATATAAATTATCATTGATTATTTAAACAAGCATGCAATGTTATGATTCATTCTTGTGTTACAAAAGGGTTTGAAATAAAATTTTCACAAAATTTATAAAGACCTTTATTTCTAAAGTCGTCTTAAAATAAAATTAAAGTTTCTTAAAACGTCTTTTATTTCTGAAGTCATCTTAATATAAAATTAAGTTCCTTAAAACTCTTTTGTTTCTAAATTCTTCTTAGAATAAAAATTAAAATTCCTTAAAACTTCTTTTATTTCTAAAGTCATCTTTAGATGAAATTAAAATTCTAAAAAAAACTCTTTTATTTCTAAAATCGTCTTAAGATAAAATTTAGGTTTTTTTTTTTTATTTTTTTTTAACAATTAACAATTATTACATATTATAGTGTAATATAGGTTCCATGACACCATTAGTTTCTTGAAAATAATTTAGTACAATTTTAATATTTCTTAAAAGAGTTAAGAGATAAAACGTGCCTTTTTTTTTATACTTAGATAGCTTGAACGAGAAAATTCATTAAAAATCATAGAAAAATCACAAAAACTATTGTGAGATATGGTTGGAAAGATCTTGAAAAATCCTATAATTTGAGCTAAATAATGAGAGCTGATTCAGAACATCAGATATGATAAATTGGCAAACTCTAGGACGTTGTAAGTTACTTCTTATTCTTGAACATTATTTACATAAACTCTTACTTCCTTAAGTCTTTAAATTCACCTTAAGAAGGAAATTATTCTTAATATATATTTTAGACAAACACATGAATGCATTAACACATTTATATTTTAATACATTAGACAAAGATAAAATACAAATGCAACTAAACCCCCCTTTTTCCATATCCTATCACCTCACCAGTAGGCTTGGTTTTCTAATATGGAATAATGAAAGATTTAGGGCTCATTTAGCACCTAATATCGCCATTAATCCTATTGGTAACATCACATGGAAACAAACACATCAATAAGTATAATAATAATTGTTTCGGGTGTAGTTCCGAAGCCTGTTGGTGGTCAAATCTAGACGTCGGCTAGGATTACATGCACAATGAGCGGTGATTATGCCCTCGGGGGTGGCTTCGAGGAACCCCCTCCGATTCTTAAGTTAGTATGGTATTTGGCTGAATAAAAATGGATAAGTGATGAAATGTGATTGTATAACCTCCTTTCCGTTGTACTAGGCTTGCTATTTATAGTTGTACTATTCTTGGTGTTGCAGGCTGGGGCATGCTGAGATCAGCCGTGAGACTGAGACCCTGGGAGACTCCGGGCTGGAGGCTGTTGGGGTCAGCCATTGAGCTAAGCCCCTAGGAGGTTATCCCTGGCTTTGGGCTGGACTGGCGTGAGCGCGCACCTCAAGTGGTGCCAAGAGCACAAGTCAACTCAGCGGGAGCTACCCTATACAACTAACCCCTAAAGAGGTGGTCTGAGGCACTTAGGCCATCTCTTGCTGTCTGGAGACGTTCTTCTGATATGAGGTTTGGAGCATGGGGAAAGCCCTGTCAGAGCTATCCCATACAACTAGCACCCCCCCCCCCCAAGAGGTGGTACAAGGGACCCGTGCCAGCTCTTCCAAGTGTCTGACCTTTGCTAGTTCATTACTTAACTGGATTGGCTGACCGAGATCATCCACATACAACTAGCCCCCCCTGAGTCTCACATCTGCATTCAGCTGATTTGAGTTTCAGAGAGTTCTGCCAGTGAGTGATGTTATGCTGAATTACCGTGGTGAGGAGCTTTGATTACTCCCGCTAATTTACTCCAAGCAACGAGCTGAGACTAAGCGGGGAGCTTTGATTACTCCCGCTGAAGTTACTCAAAGCGACGAGCTGAGGCTGAGCGAGGGGCTTTAATTA